GCCGGTGAAAACATCTTAGATCTAAGAATGATACATTATATTTTGAATAATTTAAACTGTAGCAGATATGGGCAGGCATGTGTCAGACCATTTAGGTTTGTGTAAAATGGAATTATTATTTTAAATCCACCAGAAAATACAGGTTAGCAAGGAAATAAAACAAGCTTAGGGAGGGAGTAAAATAACCTGTTTTGAATATAGCATTGAGTAACTCTGAGGCTAATTTAATATTTCACTAATAAGAGTTTGTTTCTTTCCCACAGAGGGATATACATCGTTTATAAAGATGGAGATGTTGATAATCCAATGGTCAAAGAGAGGGTCTGGCAAAATAGTGATTTCAACTTTGATAATGTTCTGTCTGCTATGATGGCCCTTTTTACAGTATCCACTTTTGAAGGCTGGCCAGCGTGAGTGAATTCTCCCTGTTTTCACAGCATTGTTAAGATTGTTACATTTTCTAGAACAGTTCTTTATCATTTACCAGGCATTTTTGGGCAAAAAAACCAGTCTTAAGTGATGTATGTAAAAACTTATTAATGGAGGGAGGAAAAAAACCTACTATCCTTCTGAATCTGTGCACTTTTCCTGTGCACTTCGTTCACCTCTATCTATAAAGGGCAAACTTTTTTTATATTGTTTGATTCCTAATCTTTCAGCTACTTTTGCTATAATGGCCTATTCTTTAGCTCTAATGGAAGTAATCCTTTTAGATGTTTATCCATCAATGCCCTTTAATACTATATGAAAATTTTAGGTCTTTGAGTAAAACTTTTACTGCAAAATCAGGCAATAGTACACTGCATAGAGAGGCCCAGGAAGAGCAAACTACCACTCGCTATTTCCCTAAATGAGAAAAATCTTAGAGGATAGCTTTATGTGAGGAAAAAAGAAATAAAAATTACAACCATCTGGTCAGTACCTTGATTCTTTTGGGAAAAAAGCATATAACATTGCGTGGTGTGATGCTTCTGGTTTCGATATGCTTGTAAGCACTGTCAGTAGCTAGAAAAAGATAACAGTAAAGAGCAGACCATTTCTGAAATCTGTCCTCTGTGTCTGCATATTTTACTCTCTTTTGTCATTTTAATGCTAATAAAGATAAAATTTTGTTTGTTTTTCAGGCTGCTGTACAAAGCCATTGATTCAAATGGCGAGAACGTAGGACCTGTATACAACTATAGAGTGGAGATCTCCATTTTTTTCATCATCTATATCATCATTATTGCTTTCTTTATGATGAACATATTTGTTGGTTTTGTGATTGTTACATTCCAAGAACAGGGAGAACAAGAGTATAAGAACTGTGAGCTGGACAAAAATCAGGTTAAAATAAATAATGAACTCTTAACTTTTGGAAGTACTCTTTTTTGTTTATGCATGAAGAGCTTCCTTTCTCTTTTGGGTCAGAAGAGGGCACCACACACCTATCTTAGTAAAAAAATGGAATTAGTACATACCATCAACTGGTATTCAGGTCATTGTATGTTCTTCTTTCTGTAAGCCCAACGTATCAGTCTTTTTGTTGTGAAAGGTGTTACATTAAGCTTGTTAGCTTCTTAGTGTCTCACTTGTTGGTGTCACATTAAGAAGAATACAGCACTTGCCAGTTTATCCATAGGCAGATGTAGGTTTTCCAATAAGAACAGGAAAATAAATTTTGTGTTCTGAATAGTCTGAAAGTGTTCAAAATATTCTACTCTTTTTTTTCGCCCCCTATTTATTTAGAAATTCACAGGGGATATTCAGATTCAAATAAAAAAAATCTGTCCCCTTTTACTGTTTAATCCTTTGACTGAGAAACTCATCAGTCACCAGTTGTGATTTTTCAGGTACTCTTGTCTGACTGTAACACACTTCATTTAAACAAAGTTAAGCAATGAAACTTTAGCCAGCATTCATTCTGCATTTTGTGTCCTGTCAGTCAACTTTTATAAACATCCTCCAAAAGACAAGTGGAAGGTCCAGCCTACATGAGGATTTCAGGCACTAATAGAGTAGGAGATGAATCCATGATGTTCCTACATATGTGACATGATTTTGCTGGGCAAATTAACTGAACTATTAGGAACAACTCTTCCTCAGTATTTATTTTGCTGACTCTAGGGTTTTAAGCTATGCAGTAACATTGGTAGTTGAAAACTTAGTAAAGACAAAGCATGACTTCTAGATGAATTAATAGTCATGCTATTAATAGTTATGCTATATACTATACATGTACATACATATAGTCTACAGTATACTGCTGTGTACTACTACACTGTATAAAGGTGAAACACTTCAGAATTACCCTGAGCATTGTTTGATTCTTTGTATGTGGCTAAGTAGTGTATATGATTAGATACAGTTGTAAATAACCAAGTGAGTATTGGTAAGCTACTTGATTACTTTATTAACACTTAATAATAAAAACCCCTACATCAAGTAGATAGACTGCCTGTTTTTAAGAGTTATATTTAACAATTTGCACTTATTAATTATATTATCAGTTGATTAACAGGTATAGTGTGACAATTTTTGATGTATTTGCTTTTACAGCGTCAGTGTGTAGAATATGCCTTGAAGGCACGTCCTCTTCGTAGATATATTCCAAAAAATCCTTACCAATACAAGTTCTGGTATGTGGTGAATTCTACTGGATTTGAATACATCATGTTTGTCCTCATCATGCTGAACACTCTTTGCTTGGCTATGCAGGTAGGAAAAACAGCTCTTTCGAAGCTGTTGGCATAAATTGCAGGGAAGGATATGGGTGGTATAATGCCTTTAATTTATGGCAAGCTGTATTTTTTTATGAAGTGAAATTGAAAAAAAAGCACCTCTGATCATAGTACTTTTCTGTGACATGTTCTAGTCTGTTCATCAGTTATACCACTCTGAAGTAAAATTGTTTAAAACAGCTTGATGTTGATAAAGGTCTTCCTAACCTAATCAAGCTCTTTGAGCTTTAGTTTGTTTGTACCTGCAGTGTAATTTAATTTATATTATATGTGTGTACTCCCAAGATTATCCAAGTGCAAGAAAATCTGAAAAGTCTAATTTTGTTAGTGAATGTTTCTCTCAACCCCCTAGATTCTTTTATCTAGTATATTCTTTTATGCAGTGTCTTTAAGCATTACTTCACCTCTGTGTAGTTTCTGTACTTGTTCTGTGTTCATTTTGTATATGTACTACTACATATTTGGTTGGGTTGGACTAGATGATCTTTAAAGGTCCCTTCCGACCCAAACCACTCTGATATTTCTATCGTCTGTGTCTGTATCTTCTTCAGAAGTTTAAAAACTTAATATACGGAGCAACTCTAGTTTTGTGTGTTAATCCAAACCTCACACAAACATGTTTTCATATATTAACTGTATATCTATATATACCTGTGTGTATTTTTGCATGTTTTTACTTTTTCTACATTATGTGTGTAGTTCTTTGCCACCTGGCTTGTCTTATCTACTTTTCCAAGCTGTCTCTTTCTTTTCCGCCAGTACTTCAGATTTTGATAAGAAAAAGAGTGGTTCAAATTCAGTTTACAAAACCATTCTACTTTTTTCAGTAAACTTGCATGCACTGTATCCTCTTAAAAATACCAGTCCTACACAATGTGTGTTATTCTGTGACTAACATACTGCAGGCTTTCTAAGCAGGTCTAACACAAGGTTATGTAATTTCAAAACCTAGCATATAGAACTTGGGAAACTGCTGTTGTCTAATACTTCTTTTTTGAGGGAGCAGTTTTCTTCTCAAAACCACGTCTCTGGAGATTCCCTTAGGATGGAGAGGAATGACAGTTTTGTTCCACTTAATGCCTAAACAGAATAAATTTAAACAACTCCATTCTTGACCAGAGATATTCAACTAGTCTTGTATGTATATAGGTGTGCATTATAAATACTACTAGAAAATATTTTCCTGTGCTGCATTTTTGCCAACTTTGTCTTAGGCTGCCTTACTTTCACTTAATATTTTAAAGCCTTTACTTTTAAAAGTACTGTATTTTTCATTCACAGCACTATGGACAGTCTAAGCTCTTTAATGATGCAATGGACATTATGAATATGGTTTTCACAGGAGTGTTCACTGTTGAAATGGTTTTGAAACTGATTGCATTCAAACCCAAGGTAAGTTTTAGATACGATTTAATTAGGTCATCACCACAGGAATTAAGCATAATGTAAGTTTCACACTAGCTATGTATTATTCAAAGAACAAAAAGAACCTACGTTTCCCACATTTATCTGTCAGTGAAATCATAATAGAAATGTTAATCTGATAATACGTATATATGTAACTTCAGGAAATGAAATGCAAATATCAGAAAAAATATTACAACGTGGTTGATGAGATCTGGAATATTTTGTAATGAAAATGTCCCTTTGTAAATCAGATAAATCATTTCCTGTTACAAGTATTACCACTTCTCTTATTCATGGTACTACATTCATAACTTTACACTAAATTAAACTCCAGTAGAGTCCTGTATGTTATGTTATATTTCCTATTCTAAAATGCAAAATTACTTCTTTACTTTATAAAAGATAGCCAAGTACTACAAACATACACATAAATAATTTGCATATTTAAGAGCCTTTTTAGATTTTTATGTTTTCGGTTATACATACACAATATTTGGTAGAGGGCCCCACAGAGAGTAGTTGATTCCTTGCCTTAAAGGGACACTGTCAAAATGAAAAAATGCAGACACATTTTCAAAAGTAGATTTGCAAGAGAAACTGATAACTATAATTACTAATTGAAGAAAAAGGTGAAAATCAGACTGTTAATGCAGTCTTTTTGTTCAGTTCTCATACTGCATTTATGACAGTGCAAAAGTTAGTAACGAAAAACTAAACTAAATTTTGTTTTCAGTACAATGAAATCAATGTTTATTCTGGGCTTATATCTATGTAAATAAGTGAAGTGTGGTCACTCGCTATACATGGAATTTGAAAACAGCCAGTCATGCCATTTGAAGTTTACTGATCTCACCGTCTAAGGCTGGTATTCTTCAGTTTCCATTGCCCTTCTTTTAAAGTAATCAGGATATCTGCATCTGTAATTGGCTGTGAACTGTGCCCTTTCTTGGTGTTAAGTAGCGAACTGGATGACTGAAACAAGCTAGCGCTGATGCTTAGAGCAACATAGCCGTGGCTGCCCGGAGCTCAGTGCTGGAGTAGATGTGTAACTACTTGCCAGCTTTTCAAAATTATTTATTCAGCTTGCATTTAGTCATGAGCTTGGCTGTGGAGCCTCAGCTACTTGATTTAAAGCTAGCTTGTATTTGCCTGCAGAAGTAAACAAATTATACATCACTTGAGGTCTGGTGTTGAGATGTGAAGTGTGGAGTTCTGGGTGAATGCTGACCCACGCTCCCGTAGTCTTGCTCTGCACTGTCCAGTCCATTGTACATTTCTAATGAATTTATTTGTATTTTCGTGTCACCTATCTTATTTAAATGCTAAGGATTTCACATTAAAAATAACACGATATGAGGCCCCAGGGGAGATAGCTCAGATATGTGGACTGCAGTGTCATGAGTATGCTGATTGTGTTTCCTAATTTTGTATTTCCTGTTCTATATCCTTGTTTCACACTGAAGTTTCAGAAGACTTTGCTGCATTTTATCATCTGCTCTTTGAAAGAAGATTGTGAATCCTTGTGTGGTTCTCCATGCACTTGTGACTGTAGTCAGAAATAGCAGCTAATGCAAAATGTAGTGGTCTGATCATGAGTGTATAAATCACAGTGCTCCATTTGTATTATGGACTTCCTACTTGTTATCAAATCCAATGTCTTAACACTGGTCTCTAAGACTTTGTACAATTTGAGTTTTAACTCTGCAACATGCTTTCTATCTGATTGGATGCTTCTACTGTGAGAGATCCCTGGATCTGAACCCTGAGAGTTTGAAGAGCAGACACTGTCAGTGAAAGGTCCTCATTTCCTGGATTTTGTTCCCCCATAGATGCAGAATACCTTAAACTTGTTAATTAGCAGGACAAGTTTAAAAGGCCATGATACTAATCAGACTTTTGGCAGAGATTAATTAGCAGGAAGGGAAGGGAGTTAAATATCTTTAAAGTTGTTCCTGTTATTCTTTGAAGATTGTAACTTTTTAAATTGTCAAATACTCTTTAATAAAAACACCTACTGGCAACATATATTACATAGTTCATTAATAATTGCAAATCAGCTAGCAGTCTTAAGCAGAATGTGAATGTCTTTTAGTAATCTACATTTAAACTAGCTACATGCTTAAATCAACAATGAATTGCTTTAATTCATATTAAGATTTAATAATAGTAGGAACAATCTGAAACCCGGCTTCACGTTTTGGTTTAGGGTCCGTGAGGAAAGACTGATTCATTTCCTCTACGTTTGAGTCACTGGGGGGTTTCTTAGTCTAGTCTGGCAGAATGGACAGTTTTATTTATTAATTTTGTGCATTTAAAAAATTATTTCAAAGATGCTCAAAGCGTCAAATAAAAACTCCATTACTCACTCTGTAAAAATAAGAATAGATAAAAATATGTTAGTTTTTGTCTCATCTGCTTGACAGTGTCCCCTTAATATGTTGACAAAAAATCTGTGAAAACTGTGATCTTTTGGTTTTGCTGGTCATGCAAACTTAAGGCTACTATAAATTATCGATACTCTTACTCTGATATTGTGTTGTTTAAAACCAAGGTACTGCAGACTGCCTTCCAGCTCTGAAATTATAAAACTTGGATAAGTGATAGGTATTAAAGGTGATGCTGAGTGTCTGGCACACTTCTTGACTGGGAGATTGGAACACAGTACTTTGCAGAATGAGGCCCTAAACTTTTCAACAGAGTACTAAAAGGACTAAAATATTTATGTGGTAGATCTATAGAAACATATTTTGGTGTTAATTCTCCTTGCCTACATATTCCCCAGGATTTGTGATTTTATCCTTCAGCATTTCTTAATGAACAAATTTTTCATAATTTAAGTTAAAAGAGCAGGCATTTTTTCTTCACATTGTTCTTCACATTTGCTAAAATCTGTTACTTAGCATGGTTTAGTACAGTACAAAACAAAATACAGCTATGAAATCTAAAATAATACATCAACACATACCGTATGTACAGCTTCATGATAGCTAGCTGTTACTTAAACTTGTAATGATTTTCCATGTCATCTTACATCAGATTTTTGTAAGAAAAAAGGAAAGATGGCTAGTAAGTGAATTGATCTTGGGTCATTGCAGTGGTGAAAACAACTTATTTGCATGATGTTTATTTGCTGTGACTTGTCCATTCCTCCCTTTTCCAAAACCATCTTTATTTTCTCTTAGTTTTTTTTGTTTATTTGTATGCTTTTGCTTTACATATTACTTTGAACAATATTTGTCTATACTGATGGAAAAGGTTTCATAAAATAAATAAATGTGTAAAGTATTGTAGCTGTATTGAATCAAAATGTGAATTTGTTATTTCAGTGCCTTATATTGTAGCATGTCTAGTAAAGTCACTTTATAGCTGAAATTAACCTTTATTTGGAGGATGTTTTTTGGCTCCCGTTGTTGTAGAGGGAGATGGATAGCACACCTCAGGATTGTGCTGATTATCTGTTTGCTGTTTGCCAATAGTCTCTTATTTTGTGTATATATATAAATATCGCTATTTTAAAATCAAGAAAGATACTTCTTTTAAATAAGATAAATAAGGAATATGAATGATCAGGAAGAATATTATGAGAGTAGCTCCCTTTCTTTAGTTGGCAGCTGCTAAGCTCTTTAGGACTGTAGATTTCAGTATCGTTGAGGTGGTTCAGCATGACGTTTACTAGAAACTTTGGGAATGACTTGTTCTTGTGAAGTGGGATGAGTAAGGAAGGAGCGATAGGGAATTGTGCAGGAGCTCTCAGAAATGGATACGTTTGTTCAGGAGGCCAAATGCATGAACATTGGCTTTTGCCCCAAGACTGGAATTGATGATTAATCCCAGAGAACCAGAGCATGTGGCACAAAGGGCTGTAGTGATAATCATACTCTGATCTGTTTTCCTCTTACAGCCCCTTCCTTAAATGAGGGAATGATTATAGTAATTTGTGTTTTAAAAGAGCCAAAAGAGAGTAGCATTAGAAACATAATGAGGCTTTTCTGACTCTGCTCAGTGCTTACTCTCCTAGAATACGCTGTAGAGCTGTCGTCTTCTGTAGCAGCTCTCTCGTAGTCTCCAAGAGCAAATTTCCACATAAAATTAGCTTTTTTTTCAAATAGTAATGCACTGGAGTATAACCTTTAAACTGTGAAGTTACTAGAAATTCTAACAGTTTAAAATATTGAGAAAAATACTGTCCAATTCTAAAAAAATTTGTAGCTGATTTTGCTTTTATGTGCTAACAACACGTCACAACTTGAATGACTCAGCTAAAACATTATCTTACAGTAAACAGTGTAATAATAAGTGTAACTAGCCATAAAGTTAGATTAGCACACTTGTAATTTTAAACTTTTTGCTAAATCTATTTTTTAGAGCTTCAGTAGTGGCTGGCAGGTTAGTATTTTTAAATTAACTACCAGGAAAGCAGAATGTACAAAATGTACATTTCAGCCTTTGTCATGTAATGCACATTCCTTAGTCATGGTTGGCTGATAAATTAATATATCTGAATGAGAAAAAGGGCAAGTTCAGTAATTTTTGCAATTCTGAATTTCTGTAATAACTAGGCAAAATCCACATATTGCAGAAAACCTACATATCTTGTCTCCGTAGAGTTGCCTTCAACAGAGTAATACATCTTGATTTGTTCCCAGTGAGAGATTGATCCTGGGACCTACCTCAAAGTTTCTTCTGAAATACCTTTTTGCTCAAATACGCCGTTTGATGCCAATAGACAGCTAATTGCATGATAGCACTTTATAACCATTTGCAGCAGTGTGCCAGTAACAGACGCATAGGGAATATAATTAAAGCCATAAAATGTCAGAAGGGTGACTAAGCAATTCATGAAAATGAATTTTCAGACATTGGACTGGCTGCATTAAAAGCATTAAGAAATTGTTCAAGTTGCTGTGGTTCCTAGCACTGACTTCACTGGTTACAGAATCAGGCCGTGACTGCAAATGTAGTGTGAGTTCCTATATTAAACCTAGTTTATGAATAGAAGATTAAGTCAGTTCTCTAATATTTATGCACAGTTCCACATTAATAATTGTGCATGATTAACCAGTGATGAGCTTTGACCCTTTGAATATTTTTACCAGTCACTTAGATAGGACTATCATAAAGTCATTAATGTTAAGGAGGTTTCAATTGGCTTGGTCTTGCAGAAATATTATTAAAGGGATTTTGTCGTGCTTGTTAGGGTATATACACTGGAATTTTTCAGCCTTGCTGGAAGTCCAAAACTGGTTTTGGATGATGGCTTGCTTGCCAACTTTGTGCTTATACGATGGTGTATTATGCATGTGTACCGCGTGTGTGTGCGTGCGTGTGTGTGTCTGTGTGTGTGTCTGTACATGTATATATATAAAGTATATATATACACACACATGCACATGTATGTTGCTTTTCCTTCAGTAGGCAATATTGTTTGTTTTGTTTTGTTTTCTCATTAGACCACAGGTTTTGTTTAACTAATTTCTGTTTATGCAAAACTAAACAGAAGTATGCAAATATTTGACATTTCATGTGTAATCACAAACGTTTGCACCCTGCCTGCTCTGTTCAGGGCTATTTTAGTGATGCCTGGAATACGTTTGACTCCCTCATCGTTATTGGCAGCATAGTAGACGTCGTTCTCAGTGAAGCTGATGTGAGTATACCCCAGCTTACTTTCCCCAGTCCCTACTTCTCTTTCTCTGTCTCCCCACTATTTCCATCATCTGGACAAGTCACAGATTTTGATCTGATGTTTCTAAAGTTTGAGTACAGACCAGTCATAGGTCAATTATGTTGATATGGGAAATAAATAGCCTTTTTTTTCTACCAATTTTTTTTTAGCTATGAAAGGGAAAGATTAGATTGTATAGTGGTACATCAGAGAAGCCTAGAGTGTTTCTGTGTTATAACACTGTCCTTTTCTTCTCTTTTTCTGTTTGTGTTTTTCTCTTGCTCTCTTTCTGCTGAATGCTTGTCCTAACAGCACTATTTCACTGATGCATGGAACACTTTTGATGCCTTAATTGTTGTTGGTAGCGTCGTTGATATTGCTATAACAGAAGTTAATGTAAGTAGCAACTGTTCATGCACTAAAAAGTAATTGCTGTCATCAAGAAATACAGAAAATGTAAACTTTATCCCTCAAAATCCTTTTTTAGAAAAGTATGTTTTATCCTGGAATCAAAGACCAAAACATTGATATAGATGTTTGTACAAGCTGTTATTATAAATCTATATACCCGTATAGTTGCACATGCACACAGCATAGTGAGACAATAAGAATTATGTTTTTCTATATACGTACAGAAAATATTTAAAACATTTTATGTATAGAAAAGGAATTAAGCCTCTGTGACTATTTTACTTGAAGCCCAGTGATTTTTGTAGGTAGCTTGATCAAGATAATTCAAGATCCTGTAAGCTGTTTCAGTGGCTCAGTTTAACAAATAATGATTTTTTTTCTGTGGGAGGTTTGGCTTTTAGAGCGATGTTAGCATTCATATCTCATGAGGTAGTGGAAGAAGGGTACATAGCGAAAGTAAGGCTTTCCATGCTGTGGAAAATAGAATGTTTATTTTTTCCTACTCCTTTTGCTTTTCCCATCCTGCAGTAAATGTTTTGAAATTTGAATTACTCTTAAAGTACTAGGAAGACTATCTTTTCACCAAAATTTTGACTGTTGGCCATTACACATATAGGTGTTTGGACAACAGAAAGATCCCTTTCCAAGAAAAAAATAGGGAAATACTGATTTCAGCCTGTTTTCTATCTGACTTGCTGGTTTTAACAAGGAAAGCTGTATCACAAAAATGATAAATGAAAGACAACAAAATACATACCAGTTCTGTAATAGATATGCAAATGCTTCCCATACTTACATGGGAAGTTTCTTTGTTTAACTAGTCAAAATAAAATTTCAGAGGAAAATGCCTCTTCCCTCTAATGCTTCTTGAGACATCAAAAAGGGAGACTGAAGAAGGTGAGACTTGGATCCAACCTAGCCACTGAAAATGCTCAGGGAGCACACAGGCTCAGTAGGTGCGGTTAGCGTATTCCACCTGCTGAAGGTCTTACCTGTTTATCATTATAAGAACTAAGTTATCCAGAAATACCCATGATGCGGGAGATCCCCAACATTCACATATTTTCTGTGTATCAAAGAACAGATTAATCAGAGAAAGCTGTAGATATAAATAGTTGCTTGGTATTCTTTGAAGATATTTAGCTTGCATGTTTTTCTACAGCAGTCACAGTTTATGAGCTGGCTAATAACATTCCTTTTCTCTTAAATTTGTTTTAGTAAGCTACTTGCTAGACATCTTTTTTTGCCCCAGTGGATTTTATTACTTACCCAAATGGTTTCTTTTCAGTAGGGATATTTAATACGCATCATCTTTCAAAATACTTTTCAGTGGTGAATATTTAAGTTGCAATATCTCTGTCACATTTTGGCAAAGCAAATCTGTCCTGTGGCTTTTGTTGCCGTTTAATTGAAACAGTTTTTCAGAGAAAACACATTTTAAAATTTATTTTCCAAAGTGGTTCATGTCAGGAACCCAATTCTTAGAATCACATTCCTCCAGTCAATAGCAGAAACGATACCCTTTACTCCATTTTGACAGTACCTTGATTTTGGAACTGTGAATACCATGATAATAAAGTTGCCCAGGAACATGGAATAGAAATTGTATTTGAAAGAACTGTGATCTGTTTCAGGCATTCCAGGATGGGGGGGGGGGGGAAAGAAAATGCGTAATTCTCAAGTAAGATCTGTCTAGAAGACAGTTTTTGGCTTTCAGTGTGTTGTTCAGATCAGCAGACCACCTACTATGAGCTTGGATTTGTGAGGCTGGTCTTGATTGAGGCCATGGTTTGATGAGGATTTCTTTTAGCATTTCCGTGAGCTTAAGCAGCCTTCTCCTGCAGCCCTTCTTACCCCCATAGCTATATGAGCTGTGCTTCCACAAGAGTTTGGGGACTTCACAGTTGACTGGATGAGGTGCTGAGCACAAAGTATTGGCAAAAGTGTGGGCCATGGTAGGGCAGAAATGAGCGGATAGGGCTGCTGCCAAAGGAAATACTTCTTGCACTGTGCCCATACAGGTCTCCCCTTCAGAGCATGTTAGCATTGGCAGAGACAACATCAATTAGTGGCAGTAGCTGCTGTTAAGAAACAGTGATGTACATAGTTTTTAATCTTCTTTGGTTCTAGTCTACTTGGTAAGCATAGTAATACCTATTATAAATGCATTTCAAGCAAATACAGAAAACAAATGTATTCTTTTATCTTTTTTTTTTAAGATGGCAGAATATCTTCAAGCATACGGAGAGTCTATTAGCCCCTATTAAAGACTTTGAATTTCTTTATAAAGCTGCAAATTCTACACTGCCATCTCAAAGAGTAAACACAATCAAAATAATTTTAAGGCTGATTCACCTTAAAATTCCTTCCTGATTTTATGTTAAACTATGAGAATCTCACGACTGACTGCTTTACTGGAAAGAACAATGGAGGAATGATGTGATAACGTGGGAGTGGAAGGACCTTAGCCTGACCCTTAGATTTCATTCTGATTTTGCTCAGTTCTCAGCAGGCAATGGATCTTTCTGTCTGTGAACTGAAGGAACCTGAGCTGACAGGGAGGGTCAGTCAGCACAGGACTGCATTGTCCCATTGAGACATTTCTCAAAGTATAATTACAGTTCACGGAACAGAATTTTAAAAGCTGTCTCTAATTTCTTTTTTCGGGTTTTCTTGATTGTTTGGTTTTGTTTGGGTTTTTTTTCCAGAAAAGTTTAGATTTAGACTTTCAGCTCAAGTATTTACACTTTACTCACTATTTCCATTCACAGTAGTACTGGTGTAGATGAACATAATATCTGAGGAGCGTAAAAAGACCAATCATTTAGAATAGCTTTCCCTAATAACTGCAAAATGTACTTGATTGTGAAGAGATTGAAAAATAGCTCAAATGTACTTCCATGACCATAGAAGATATCCCCGTATTTAACCCCATATTTAACACTGTATGGACAATGTTAATTTGACAGCATTACTTGTAACTGATCACTGCTGAGTTTTCAGCTGTGAAGAACACTGTCATTTTAGTAATTCACACAGTTGTCTTGAAAATATTCCGGAGATCAAGTAGTGATCTTCAGGAAAAGTACACACCACAGTCAACAACTGGCACTGTCATTTCTTAGTTTTTCATGCTATAGTCACTAGAGAGAAAAGGCTCATCTTTGATGTCTTCTAGTACTGCACAGCAGACTATTTGTGTACTAAGTATTGTCTGTTTCTGGTCTTTTCCACTTTTTTGTGCTTTGTTTGTGCAAGTCATTAATGTATTATAGTTTCAATATACTTCTGGGCTTGATTTCCCATTTTCAACATGAAACAGTGAATACTGCAGAGTGTCCAGGGAAATTTCTTAGATTTGTATTACTTTTATTGTTTTGATTCTACTCAATTATTCCCACTTCATTAGTTTTGTGTAAATGTCTATAATCCAAATACAGTACTTTAGAGGCTTTTTCTTAATAATTTTTTGGCATTCTGAATTGTGCCGTTCCACCTGTACTTAGTTTGTCTAACACTGACAGTGATCCTGGGAAATCTACAGCTCTGCTAAGATGCTAACAAGACTTTGTTTTCAATGGGATTTCAAGCACGATTGAAATGGCACCTGTGAAAATTCCCACTATAGAAACTTCTTAAACCAAGGAAGCTCAGCCTTGTTTGAGGGGTCATCTGAAACTATAAATTGCTAGCGCTAATGTAAAATCAGATCTTGTTGCAGTTGTAACTGCACGAGTACAGCCATCTTAATGGGTCAATGTAAAAGAAGACTTGAAAGAATGTGAATACCTAAAATAATGTACTCAAGATGAACTAAACATTCTTATAGGTTTGCATATATAATTGCCTCATGCTGTGGAAACAACTCAGCATCATTCTGATAGTCTAGCTGTGTACATTTAGACTAATTCCAAAGGCCAGCAAGTTCTTCCAGTATATAACATGTTTGTATCTGATGCATTTTTTTCAAGAGAGTTGGTTGGACTTTCTAGTTACATATCAACTTGATTTCAGTATTAAATTCTGGAAATTAAATGTAATCTCTTTATTTTGTTGTTCCTTTTCTTATTTTTTTAACTTTCTTTAATAAGGTATATGGTGCCCTGAGGCTGATTCTTCTGATCCAGTAACCTCCCATTCACATATAATCCAGGAAATTACTGTGTTTTGAGTACTTTTGGTGCCCGTGGAAATCAGTGTTTAATGTGTTCAGCAATTTACAGGAGTGCTCAGCATCCTCAAGGACTGGATCAGTGACCAACTGCAGAAATGAACCACCTCAGAGCAACATATATTTTGACAATACACTGTTTTCTATGATTGTTTTTTTAATTTACTCTATCATTTAATATCCCTTCCTTTAACCAGTTCTTCTTTTATGAACCTAATTGGTTTTCATGTTCGTTTTATTTTTAGAAATTTTTAGAGGCAAGTATATATAAGTAAATATATATATATGGTATAGCAATAAAAAATTAAAAACACTACTAAAACCTATATAATTACTTTTGGGTTTTGTAACTTTTTGTTTTCAAAAAGTTTCACATGACACGCAAGATCTTGTGTGGTCA